TTCTCTGTGACATCCAGTACCTTGTCCATAATTTCTTCACTGACCTAGTGTTTGTTGAGTAAGTCTAGGGGACTGCTGGACCTTCGAGGAACCATCCATGAGAACTTGTAGGACGACAGAGGTGCTGTCCATCTGCTCTGTTCAGAGTGTGACTAGGGCAACAGAGGAATTACATTTTTAATTTTCTTTAATTTTTCATTAAATTTCTGCATATGGTGGGTGGCTACAGTGTTGGACACGATGGCTAGTTGTCACTGAAGAAGAAGAGGGACAGTGTGCAGCTGGTGCTCCCACCAGGGCATAGCAATGCTCTGACCTCCCTCAATGGAGAAAGCCATGCACTGTCCTCCCGCAGGTGGCTCGCTGGGTGCCCATCACTGCCCAGGTGCCATTGAGGCTCCATTGGCCGCTCTGAGTAGCACACAGCTGGAGGAGGATTTACTGTGAGATTGAGAAGCAGAATAGAGGAGTAAGACAGTGACGTGATCTGTAAATACTGAGCAGAACTTGGAAGCTCTGCACATGGAAAATGAGAGCAGAGGCCGGCGCCATTGATGAGGGCAGACATTCCCCTGGGCTTCCTGCTTCCCACCTGGTCCAAAAACTGTACTGTTGATTCCACTTGCTTTCCTTCACCTGGGAAACCGGAGTTGTGGTTCTGTTGTCTTTGGAAAGATGTGAGCCCTGCTGACCTGGATGCAGCTGTGACTTGAGGCTCACTGAGCATGTCTCCTGTGGAGCTCAAAGCACCTCCAGGTGCAGAGGAGAACCAGGGCCAGATGGCCATCTTCCTCTTTCCGGGATGCCACCTACTCACCATCAGACATGGCACCCACAAAACGTGGGGTTAGTAGGATCCACACCCAATAAACACATGGCTCAGAATTGCTTTCTAAGGCATCCTTTGGCCATATTTCAGGCCTTTGCGCTCAGAGCCTCACAGAGCAGGCTCCTGAGTCAGGGCCTCTATGCAGACAGGATGAAACATGTCAGGGCTTGGATTTTTTGTCACCTTAAAAGTGGACACCAACAGAGTCTCTCTGCTCCACCCCCTGTGTGTCTAGGGGCACTGCTTTCTTACTTCCTGTTTCTCCCTGCTCTGCCCTGCTCTACTGAATAAACCTTTGCTAATCTTCCAAACAAAAACAAAAGTGGGCACCAACAGCTGGCAATCAGGGAGAATCATAGGTAGCTGGGGGTGCAACTTTATTTATAGTTCACATTAAGGGATAGAGAGACACTCGAGCAGGTCCTGTGAGCCAGCAAGAGACAGCGAAAGTTGGAGGCTGGCTAATTCCAGTGGTTGCCAAACTGAATCCCCACACTTTGCAAAGTGAGACAAGGAAACAAAACTGACCCCAGTGAGGAAGATACCAAAGCCCATGCTCTGCTAGTAGTGAGGAATGAATCATTGAAAAACGCTGAAGGATTTGAACTTCAGAGCATGAAGAACTGGGAACCCTTCAACATGCGGATGGCTGAGCTGAGGCCCCATCAGAGCCCAGCTGCCCAACTCAGTGTTCACCTGGCACTCAGCCCTATGACATGTGGCACATGCCAAAACCCTGGGCCTGCCTGGCCATGTCCGTACCCAGGTCATGGCTGGCTCCTGATTTGTCCAGCATTCTTAGCATTCTCACTTACCTTCTCCTTCTTGGTGGACCGTTTTTAACTATCCCTCATTCTTTTTCCTCCTCCACCTCCCCATTCCCAAAGGAAGTTGATGTAATTGGAACCTTGGGAGGAACATTGGGACAGAACAAGTGACGTGAACATGGAGGAGGAACATGTGGCACCTGGTGATAGACCATCAGCAGATGCAATGGCTGCTGCAGCAGGCAGAAGAACACACAGTTCTTTTGTGTAGAATACATCCTGCCTTCCATGCCCTGCAGGCCCACACATCCTCCTCCACTGCAGCACCACAGCCCTCTACTGCCCCCTCCATGTTCCCACATAGCCAGACAGATCACCTTTCAAAATCCCAGCAGCTCACAGTCATCCCAAGTGAAGGCCAGCCCATTCTCACTGCGCTTCTGAGCGACACCAGCTCCGCTTCTACTCTGAGTTTTGCTGCATCAGTGGCTCCAGGTCTCGGGCACACTGGGAGGTAGGACAGGTGCCTCTGTGAATGAGGGAAGGGAGAGAGGAGCCCTTGCGCCATCTGAGGAAGCTTCCCACTGTCCTTTGAGGGGGACAGCATTGTGGAAGACAGGCAGTCAACTCTGTCCTTGCCCCCAGCCATGTGAATGAGGTGGATGGCTGGAGGTGGGGCTTGTGCAGGCAGCTTTACCGTAGAGCAGCCTCGTCAGAAACACATTAGCAAACTGGAAAGAGAATACAGCAAAGCACAATGGTGGCCATGGCCTGCAGAGCCTGGGGAGCTGGAGGAGCAACAGAGCAGCACACTCAGCAAGTCCACTCAGAGAGGGGCTCTGTGTAGAGAGAAGGTTGGCATGGAATTCATATTGACCAGGTCTCAGTTGTCGACTGAGCACCAGAGGGTGAAGAGCCAGGCAGGGGCCAACCCCACACCGAGTCAGAGACAAGAACTCCAATCGTACTGCCATGGGAGAAAGTTTGCAAGAGTGAAATCTCAGAAATCTCAAACGTAGACCATTTCAGTTTTTTTTCTTATTGGGGCAATTATTATTGTTCTGCTCATTGTGATCCTAAAGAATGGCCGCCTTCAAAAGGCAGGTAAATCTGTCATCCGGCATGTCATGGCTGACAGCCTGAGAACTCACCCACCCAACTGTCCTGAAAACACAGATGAAAAGAATGTCACCAAGCTGAATGAGGGACTTCTCCAGCCTCAGCCGAGGAGAACAGAAGAGAGATCTGAGACTCACAGCAGGGCACTGTGTCAGCCTCTGTCAGGACCAAGATAATGGTAGCAATGTTCTCAAACTAGGAAATGTGTCCGGGCAGCAGCAACAGCTTCCTGGGTCAACAGGAAACCGGCAGTAATCGCTTCTTGCTATTAAACAGCAGTCACTGTCACGCAGTGACTGCCGAGTGTGTGCCAGGACTGTACGAACCTCCTCAGGTTGATCTTTTCATCTCGCTCTAAAGGCATCTGTGTGAGATGCAGGCGTTTCTCATTTTCAGCTGATGACTCTGAGGTGCAAGTTGAACATCTGTCCAAAGTCACTCAAGCAATAAGACCTGCCATGAGCAAGGAGCACTCATGTGTTCCAAACACTGCCCGTGCTTCCCTGTTCCCTGCACTAACACTGGCCCCAGTGCCATTGTCTCCTCCTATCACTGGAGGCGGGGCACCTGCCAGCCACCCTGGGGGCCGAGCGTGTGGCGGAGGTTCCCTCGGGCGTCAGTGGACACAGATGGCATCTGACTGCCCTCCCAAAGGCCCAGCCTCCTACCCGCTAGCTGCCTGGACCCAGCAGGGGCCAACCACTAGTGTGCCCTCCTCATGACCTTTCCAACATGCAAACGTGATTGTACCGTTAAGTGCTTGAAAGAGCTCAAAGAGCTGCATAGAAACCCGGAGTCCCCACCATCAGTTCACGTGCTGGACGTGACCCTACCTGGCCTCCTACCTCCCGTTCTCCTGCTATCCCACCCTCACACACTCTTGCTCCAGCCTTGGGGTTTCGTGTTTCAGTCTTCTGAAGCTGTCTTGCAAAATCTGTTTTGCGTGAGATGTATTGAAGTGTGCCTTTCTCTGTCGGATGTCACATATACATCCCTGAAGGTTCATCTCCAGTTGTCCCTCTTCCACAGGGTCAAGCTGGCACCCACTGCCTGCCCTGCTTTTCCATAACAATGCCAGCCACACATTTTGTCAGAGGTTGGCCACCTCCAGCCATTTATTCAGCATGGGCTAGTCACGCACCATGATGGCCGTGGGATCTGGCACCAGGTGAACAGTGGTAATGGATCTAACCTGGCATCTCTGGTATGTCCACATCCCCATTGGGCCTGGACCAGGAGCAAGGATCTGTTCTTTTGCCTCTGCATCTCTTGCATAGCAAAAGTCACCTAGTCATCCACCTAGTCACCCAGATGGGTGGCCCTGGACGGCTCAGGATGGATCATTTCACACTTTAGGTTCCAAACTGAGCCAATCCAGGTCTGCAGGAATCCCCCACAGAGCTGGCCTGTCAGTGGGGGCAACTGCACAAGTCATGTTAGACACGTCAGGTGTTTTCCCGCAGCATCTTTGCCTCAGTATGTCCCCGTTAGCCCTCAGAGCATGTATGGGATGTACAGAAGGAAAAACAAAAATGGAAACACTGGAAAAATCGCCCTTTCTCCAGGCAAGACTGTGAACTCACACTGTGAGGGTCTCACCCAATTTGGGCCAATTTCAGGTTGTGCTAGTGGTGACGACCAATAACACTGAAGTCATTCTCTGAGCGGAGGGGGTGGAATTGAGTCTCTCAAGACTGGCGGTGTCCTCCCCAGCTTCAGACTGTGCAGTCCCTCTCGTCAACAAGCCCACCACGCATCTGTGGTGTATCTTCTTGAGTAAGCTGTCATGTCAAAAGATTCAGTTGTGTCTATGAAATCCAAATAGATCCAAAGCTCTATCACAGCATATACATAAATGTACGTATGTTAATATAGCGTGCATAAAATGAGACTTGTTGAATGTATGTTGTGTATGTGTGTATCTGGAACGTGTTTAATAAATCGAATGTGCTTCACCAACTGCATGAGGTGTGTCATGCAAATGTCTCATAAGCCATCCTCATGAATTTATCAGGAGCTCCATGTCATTTGGAATTACAGCAGTGAGGAACCTGAGGGTGCAGACTGGACGTTGACGGTAACTATATAGGCAAGCTGCACTTCTTTGTAATACCACCTCATGAGCAGAGTGTGGTGTGTGCGAGAACACACCCACTCGTGTCCTTGGCATGTGCATGACATTCCTACTCAGCCTCAAGTGTCTTCCTCAAGGGCTCCTTTTGCTCTGATCTTCAAAGATAGTAACACGAGTCTCCTTCTCTCTCCTCTTTCTCTATTTTTATCAGTGTATATGGTTGTCCCCTGGCGAAAAAAAGGAAAACACAAGATAAACAGCCCCAAGAACCTGCTCCCAAACGAAAACCATTTGCAGTGAAAGCAGACAGCTCCTCAGTGGATGAGTGCTATGAGAGTGACGGGACAGAGGATATGGATGAGAAGGAGGAAGATGAGGATGAAGAATTCTCGGAGGACAACGATGAGCAGGGGGATGAGGATGAGGAGGATGAGGAGGTGGACCGGGAGGAAGAGGAGGAGATTGAGGAGGAAGATGATGATGACGATGATGAAGATGGAGACGATGTGGAGGAGGAAGAGGACGAGGAGGACGAGGAGGAGGAAGAAGAGGAAGAGGAGGAAGAAAACGGTAATCCTTAAAACATTAGCCAAGAGCAAGTCGTGATTTGGGTCAGTTTTCCGTGGGGATTTCTGGTGTTGATATCCATGACACCCTAATGATTTACTATACGAGTAAGTCCGCTTCGTCAATACGGGAAAAATCAGCTATCTTAAAGAATTTCTTTTCAAATTGTCTCCTAGGCTTTAGATTTTGTTTCAAATTGTCATTCAGATTGGTCCTCACAGCAATTTGCTGACATATTTATGGTGGACATATTTGATTAACTTAACAAAATTTCTATTCTCTAATTTCATGTTTATCCAAGAGGTACTATTCTCACCCAAACAATGCTGATGGCACGGGGTGGTCCAGGAGCCTTACCAGCTGCCATGCGTAAAGAGGTACAGTGGCAAAGCTTCACCTGGTGACTGTCACAAGATTGGGATGAAAAGAAACATTGTTAAAAGGAAATTATTAAGGGGCCAGTCACAGCCGTCACATTTAGGACCACATTTCTGGTCTGAGGGATTCAACATTGTGAGGATGCTGTGTGCTCACGGGGGTGTTTCTGCAATATGCTGTAGCGCACTCATTCTGTGTCGTTTTCTGTAAGAACAAGACTGAAAACTATGGCTTGGAAACTAATGCTTCCCTAAAGGTCATGTTTTTCCTAGAAAGAAGTGGGAGTTTTCTCTAGTCTTTTAGAGTCTTCATTGACTGAGGAATTGCCTCACAGAAACGTAGAGAATGATGACACAGTGGAGGGAACACTTTTTTTCATCCTTCTTCCTTGCACTCAAAAGCTCTTTGAGAATCTGAATTCCAGGAGAGCTAACTTCTACACAAAGCCACGGTCACCCCAGTGGAAGGAAGCTCTCTAGGTCACACAGCTGTGAGTCACAAGTTGTTACTCCTGTGCACAGGTGTAAATGACCAGGCCTCTGTCAGAAGCATGGTCACTTGAGATAACCTTACACTCTTACAGTGGTTTTCTTTTTCTTTTTGGGACTTGAACTCAGGGCTTCACGCTTGCTAGGCAGGAACTCTACTGCTCGAGGCACACCTCCAACCCAGGTTTAAGATTCTTAGAAAAACAATTTGCCACTTTTACATTTGTAAAAGCATATATATACACACAGATCGAGAAAGAAAGGTACATGCACACACACAAATTGAATAAATACAAACTTTTTCTCCTCATATTTTTTGTCTTGACATTATGGCACACTGTGAGGACTGTCTGACAAGACAAAACAGAACACGGGCCAACAGAGTTGCTGAGAATATGATCCTCTACCCCCTTTCAGACAGCCTCCCCTGCAAGTCCCAGAAGTCTGGGACCATTCAGAGTAGGTGAGGGTGGTGGCTTTTGGGGCCTGGGGGACAATAGGAAGAGATGAGATAGCTGTGTTTCTCTGGAGTAGACACCAAAGGCTTGTTTGATTTCCAAGTTGGAGGATCTTCTCCTGGAAATAAATCACTTTATAAGCCTGATTCCTGGAGACTCTCAGAAGGCTTTCTGTGCAGAGAGACCCTCCCTGGAGGAGCCCCACAAGACCCCATTTAGCCGGATCACACTAATTTTCCTGATGGATTACACTCTGAATACATCATCATGCATCAGGGGCAGGAATCTCCAGGAAGCTTTCAGATCAAAGAAACTGTAGAGCTTTGTTGATTGGGAGTCCATTCTGATGCTCGAACTCCTAGTTGTGCCTAATTTACTAAAAATAAGCTTTGAAAGGCATAAATCTGTCAAAGTCCTATTTTCATATCTTCATGGAGCACTTTGCATTTACTGTGCTGCTAAAGGCAGTGCTCAAATCACTGTCAACAAACAAACTCACGCTGTGATGGTCACACAGCCCCAAGAGCAGCGCACTGAGTGCAGGATGCCCAAGTGGTGCACATAGAGGCACCTTCCTTGTGTCTGGTCACTGTCTTGAGGTGGGTCTCCATGTTCCTCATTGACATCATAGCTCTGTGACACCAGGGGCCAGCAGCAGACCTCCCTGAGGACAGGAAGACAGTGAAGTTACAAGGAAAGCAGGGCGTTCAAAGCATGGTGCTCTGACCACATCAGTGTGGAGCATGGCAGGTGCACCATGCTCTGGTGCAGGAGACGGCTGTCCGGCACGAGGAACTCGGGGCAGTGAGGCACACACAGGACAATGCTTGGGCTGATGCCTCAGGAGCCACTGAAAGGCTCAGATTGTTTATACTAATCTGATACCATTTCCTTCACTGGTGGAAGCATTTCCTACCTTGATTATAAATTGAAATGAGGAATTTACTGAGAGGTTTTGTTTTAGATAAAACAAATTTATACAAATCACCAGATTATTACAATAGGAGCTCACAGATTGTGGGAGGAATATTATGTAGAACTTGGAAGTGAAGCATTTATTTTAATTCCAGGCATCCTGGAGCATGGCAGTTACACATAAGCCAAAGCCACACTAATAACGTGTGTGCCTGTGAGCGTGTAGAAGTTCAGTGCTCACATCGATTACGTGGAGCTAGGTAGGGTAGACAGTCTTATTCTCACTGCACCACTTAGAAACTGAGGCTTATTAAGATGAAGTTATTTTCCGTAAGTGGTGGATATGTAGTTAGGCTTTATGGGTGGTTTTTCTTCTTAGAGAACTCATGTTCTTCTTATTAATTTCTCTTTTTTGAAGAGCAGCAAAGAGTACCTGAGTAACTTACTTCAGATTGTATTAAGTTCCTATTTAATTGGTCAATACTGTATTTATTGTAAAGTTTACCTATCACAGGCTGTGCTTTGGCATGCAGAATTTTCTTTGCAAAGTATACAGTGATTGTGTAACTTCGTGTTTACTAAGAGGTAAATTACTACTCAGTACTTTTAGATTTTCCATAGCAGGTTTTGTACGTTATGATGTTTCTTTCGGCATCCTCATGACTAGAGAAAGACATGAAATGGATATGGGATGTCTATAAGTTACAGTGTTACTTCCACACTGAAGTCCAACAGAGAGAATAATTCTTTGAATATATGTGTGCACACATGTGTATACATACACGTGTATTTCATTTTATACATGCACATGTACACACCCTTTTTTTGGCAGTTCTGGGGCTTGAACTCAGGGCCTCATGCTTGCTAGGCAGGTGCTCTACCACTTGCGCCACGTCGCAGCCCTCAGACATCCTTTTGAGTACGCACTGTATCTCCCCACATGGGAGGAGTAGTGTAGCCATGAGCTTTCTAGACTGCTAAAGCCCACGGGTGTGTCCAAATGTTCCACTGCTGAAATGCGGGGGTGACATTTCTGCCCTCTGAGGCCCTCAGGGCTGCCCTGGACAGCTGGACGTTGAAAGGCAGTCCCCATGACCATCGGCTGACTTCTGCAGGGCAGGAGCTCTCTGGAGGGCCTCCGGATTCAGCATGCTCCCCACGTCCAGCAGCAACCACGTGAGCTGGCATCCTCACACGTTTGCTCTGAGAGGAGCAGTGGGTTGTTTGTGGGATACGTGAATGGTTGTGTTAAGAACCTTCTCTGTGCCCCATGTGCTGACTGAAAACATGGGGTGTGGAGACCAAGCCGGTGAGGCTGCTTCTGTTAGCCAAGTATGATGGACTCTTTCCTGTCATCTACAGAAGTAACTGAGGTGGGCCAGGGATCAGCACCCTGATCCCACGGCCCCCACCATGTAATAGCCTGGTGTTTGAGACAGTCTTCCAACCGGGCATGTCCTTTCTGCAGAAACTCAGTTCTAAAATGGGAATTCAAGACAGAAACCATGCTGGGTGAATTCCTCCTCCCAGAAACATTTTAGTATTCAAATTTCCTGGGGTGTGCCAAGGCCCCCAGGTGCTAACGTGTCCTGATAACTTGGGGTACGTGGCTGGAGCCCTGGGGAGGAAGATGGCATGAAGGTGATGAGCAGTTTGCACTGTGGCCTCTGAATCCTCCCGCTTCCCTCAGGATGCTTTTCTCCATGTTGATTAGCCAATTAGCCTCTTACATCTTTCTCAGGGAAATGTCCCTGATGAGGGAAGTGAGCAGAAGTGCAGACAGACTGTGAAATCAGAATTAGCCAGCCAGTTTTCTCCTGCAGTCAGCAGAAACAGCAGTGAGTTCTGAGACCAACACAGAACAAAGATGGTATGTTTAGTACACAAGCCTTCCTCTTGAGAAAGCTGTGGACACAGATGGGGGGGAGGATAGAGTGGATTTCCTCATCTTGAAAATGAGCCTTTCCCTGCATTCACAAAAGCCTTCTTGTAGGACCCTTAAAAGCAGGTATGCTGCAGTGTGTGGCGCTGAGGCTTGGGGATGAGGAATCCTATAAGGAGATCTTTCTAGGTATCATCTATGATAAAAAAAAATCTTTCTTTGTGAAAACTACTTTTTGCCTAATTTTAAAATCTAATTATGTATTATGTTTTGTGACTGTTCAGAAACATCACTGTAGCCAGGAAACTTGGCTGAACCCGCACACCATGTGCACTTAAGGTGTGAGCTAGCTTGTTCATACATACAGAGTCAGGAGAAGCTGCTCACATAGCAGTGAACGTAACACAAGATCACAGGTCTCACGTGATCTTGTGCAGCTTGTCTCCAAGGTCTGCTCTAAAGGATCAGGTGTGTCTTGCTCATTTATTTTACTCCAGGTGCCAGCTTGTCATGGTGTAGTGCAATGACTCAGAAGAAGCATGTTTGCAGCCCCAGCCATGCTGCTCACCTTGGGCCTCCCTGAGCCTCAGTGTGATATGTCACACAGACTGGGGTCCCAGGACTCAGCCCTACTTCCCTCCTGTGTGTTCCACAGCCTAAGGAGAGCACTTGACAGTCCAGGGTGATCTCGGCATGACGCCATCTCCCTGCCTTCACTCTTCTGCTCTCGCTCTTTACCTAGGGCCAGGCCAGCATGGCACAGGAGGGCTCTGTCTGCTAAGGCTAGGGCAGGGCAAGTGCTCTCATTTCAAACACCAGTGTATCTGCTGTGTGCCCAGCGGGTGCAGATCACATGAGACATTTTTATTTTTGTTTTTTTTT